CCTCCCCGAGCCTCTCATGTCCCTTAGGACCCACAAAAGAGAGAACGGGTTAGAGAAAACACCTCATTCGGGATCCACAAGCAAATATTTCCGAAAACACTTCATAGACAATGCAAATTACAAACAGACTTAACAAGTTCTGAACAGTTGAACATCAAAGGGTAAAATGGTCCATTACAGATCGAAAATCTCTCACACGTGTCCACATGACACGACCTTTATTTACAAGCCTAAAGCGGCCACCAACCTAACTAAAATAGGACTATTAAGCCTTCGGCCGTCCCTCTATATGCTGTACAAAGCATGAACATACCAAATGACACGGACATACATAAGCCTTACATCAAACATCCTGTTTCGAAGTTTGTCCGTGACAGTTTGTACGTTAAAAGCGATTTTGGTATGAAAGCCAATTCAGAAGTTGCTTTAACTTAGATTAGGCAAAGTGCAATTAAAGTAAAGCTATGGAGGCAGTTTGTAGTTAAGATAGAGAACAGAAAGTAAATGCAAATCGAGATTTAGAGTGGTTCGGTCAATCTTAACCTACATCCACTTTTGGCTTCCTCCCCCGATGAGGTCACCGACGTCCACTAGAGGCCTTCCTTCAATAAGCGAAGGTGAAGCACCCTTTTACAGTTTCACTCCTTTTGACGGGTTTAGGAGACAACCCTTGCAAACTTTTCTCTCATCTCTTGAAAGATCAAAACTTAGAAGAAAAGAGGGAGGAGAACTTCTAGCCTTTACAACACTTTTGAGCTCTAAAAATCACAAAGTAAGATTGGATTTTCGATGCCCTTTCATGCAGGAAAGGGTGGGGTATATATAGGCCCCAAATTGGTTTGAATTTGGAGCTCAAAAATGTCTTTTCCCGAATTTCCGGGGTCCTAGCGGTACTACCTCCTGACTGGGGCAGTACAACCGCCTAGCAGCTCGGAGACTGAGCCTCTGGGCGGTGCCACCGCCTAACAAGGGCGGTTGCACTGTCCAATCTTGCTCGGAGACTGAGCCCAAGCGGTGCCACTGCCTGACTAGGGTGGTTGCACTACCCAGCTTTCCTAGAAGACCATCTCCTGGGTAGTGCCACCACCGACCCTAGTGGTGCTACCGCCTAGCAGGAATTCTGGTCCGAATGGGTTGATCCATTCGGCCCAATTTGGGTCTATCAAGGACCTAATTGCCCCCAGATTAAGTTAATCGGATCACCTCCCATTCCTAACTTAATTTACATGCTAACTATGATATTTCTTAAGACATTTACTACAACTTGCTCCAATGCATCAATCGCTTCTTCCGGTGAACTTCCAGCGAACATCCGACGAACTTTCGGCGATGCTCCGACGGACTTCAAGCAAACTCTTGGACTTGCGACGATCCATTTGGCGAGTTCCGATGAGCTTTTTTGGCAAGCTCCTGGACTTCTCAGATTTGTTCCTACAGAACCTCCGACGATCGTCTAGACTTCCGTCGAACTCTCAAACCCCCAACATGATCATGGTCTTGACTCTGGCGTAACTTCTGCTGCATGTCTTACTTCCATTGTAGTTAATCCTGCACACTTATCTCAACATATGGATTAGATAACAAATGACAATTGACTTCATCATCAAAATCCGAGATTCAATAGTTTCTGGCTTCTCAATATTATCACCATCATCATCAAACAATTGGTCTTCAAGAAACACAACATCTCTTCTTCTAATAATCTTTTTGTTCACTGGATCCCATAATCTGTACCCAAACTCTTCATGACTATATCCTAAGAAGATACATGTTTTTGCCTTATTATCAAGCTTGAACCTCTTATCTTTGGGAATATGAACAAATGCTTTACATCCAAAGACTCTCAAATGATTAAAAGATATATCTTTTCCTCTCCAAACTCTCTCTGGAACATCACCTTTTAGATAAACTGATAGAGAAAGATTTATCAAGTCAACTATAGTTCTCATGGCCTCCCCCCAAAATGACTTCAGTAACTTGGCATGAGAAAACATATACCTAATCCTTTCTTCAATGGTTCTGTTCATCCTTTCTGCCACACCGTTCTGCTAAGGAGTTTTAAGAACTATTTTCTTAAGCTTGATTCCATAGAACCTGCAATAATTCTCAAAAGGACCCCTATACTCGCCACTATTATCTGATCGAACACACTTTAGCTTTCTGCCAGTTTCTCTTTTAACACTAACATGAAACTCCTTGAAAACATCGAGTACTTGGTCTTTAGATTTCAAAGCAAAATCCCAAACTTTTCTAGAATGATCATCAATAAAAGTAACAAAATAAAGAGCACCTCCAAGAGTTCTAGTTTGCATAGTACAAACATCAGTATGAACTAAATCAATAACATCTGATCTTTTAGATGATGGATATATATGAAATGCAACTCTATGTATTTTTTCAACTAAGCAATGATCACAAGATTTAAGAGATGTACCTTGCAACTCTGGTAAGAATTGCTTTCTAGCAAGAGTTTGAAGTCTCTTCTCGTTGATATGACTAAGTCTCTTGTGCCAAAGATCTATACTTTCACCTTTTTAAATTGCATCAATCTCTCCTTTGTGTAGCTTAGCTTCCATGACATTAAAAAGAGTTAAGGTTCTTTCCTCTTGCCACAATTAGATAACATTTAATGAGTTTTCATTTTCTTTCACCAAAATAATGTACAAAGCCCTCATCATCAAGTATGCCTATAGATATCAAGTTAAGACGAATATATGGAATATGCCTTACATCTTTGAGTATCAATTTGCTCCTAATACTGGTCTCCAAGCAAATATCTCTAATACCCACAATCTTAGATGTACAATTGTTTCCCATTTTAACATTACCAAAATCATCAATAGTGTAAGATCTAAAGAAATCACCATGAGAAGTAACATGAAATGAAGCACCAGAATCAATTACCTAATTATTGTCTTGAGCTACAAGACTGACACAACCGTCATCACAAACAATAATGATATTACCTTCAGCAACAACTATATTGGTATCTTTCTCATTTTTCTTCTTTTTATTCTGTTCTCGCTTCCAAAACCTATACTCTTTCTTCATGTGACTTAGTTTGTTACAGTGGAAACATTTGATATCTCTTCTAAACTTGGATTTTCCTCTATAACCATGTGGATTTCTACTATGACTTCTTCCACGTATTTCTTGTTTTTCAGCGACAAATGCACTAGAAGAAGATTCACCATGTTCTTTCCTTCTAGCATCTTTATTTAGCAAACTATCTTTAACCATATTTATAGTTAGAGTCCTCTCTGGCATGGAGTTACAAATTTTCACCACATACGTTTCTCAACTTTTTGGTAAAGAGCTGAGAAGTAATAATCCTTGCATCTCATCATATATATTCATTTTCATAGCAACCAACTTGTTTGCAAGACTCTGAAATAGGCTTATGTGCT